TATACCTTTAGCTGTGTGACAAGAAATCGACTTGACGATAGTCCCAGGAGGTAGCAGGCTTTACATTGATCAGAGGACTTCCAAGCAATGAGATAAAAGGGAGTAAGGTTCACAGGAAAACAGCTTACATTTCCCCAAGGGCTTATCCGACCTCAGTTGATATCTTCGTCACGCCAGGGGCATGAGAGCTGTAGCCACTAAGGTTTCCTCACCCCAGTCCCCCCTAAGGTTTTGGGCTCCATCACCTACCTAAATGGCCCTACTTCCCCTATCCCTGGTGGCGTAATGGTTATTGGGCTGCTAATTTCAAGACCAACAGTTCAAAACCGTCAGTCTACCAGAGTGAGAAAGACAGGGATTTCCCTTGGAAACTCACAGGGGCAGGACTACCCTGCCCCATATAGTTGTAAGGAGTTGGCACTGACTCAATGGCAGTGAATTTGGGGGTTTTTTTTGTTTTGCTGATTAGGTTTAAAAGGAATGTTTTACTACAAGTGAGGGAGGGACTGTAACATCATGGGTCCCTTCCCTTCTCTCTTCCTTAAGTGTCTTTTTTTTTTTTAATCGTTTTATTAGGGGCTCATACAACTCTTATCACAATCCATACATACAGCAATTGTGTAAAGCACATTTGTACATTCATTGCCCTTGTATTGAAATATTAACTCGCATCTAACTTTTAAAAATTACTAGCAAGAAAGTTCATATAAAAAACCCTTAAGAGTTTAGAGATTGCACTAGCTACACTCTTCTGATATGTAATTATGAATAATGTTTAGTCTGAAGCCCTCTTCAAGTCAAACAAGTGTACATTAAAAAAATAAATAATGCTAAGCTAACCGTTCCCATGTATTTCCAACGACAACCCTCTATGGGAGTGAAAAGATTATTAGCAGGGACAAAGGGAAGAACACTGTTGTTGTAAGATATCAAGTGAATTCAGAGTCATAATGACCCTCTATGACGAACCAGCACTGGCAGAGCCTGCACCACCCTCACAACTGTTCCTACATTGAGCCTTTTGTTATAGCCACTGTGTCAATTTATCTCAGAGAGTCTCCTTTTTTGTTGACTCTCTGCTTTTCCAAGCCTTTTCTCCTTTTTTCAGGGACTGATAAGGTCCTGATATGTCCAAAGTCTATGAGATAAGTCTTGCCATCTTTGCTTCTAAAGAGCATTATTCTAACTATATTTCTTCCAAGACATGTTTGTTCTGTTGGTAGTTTGTAGTATTTTAAATATTCTTCGCCAACACCATAATTGAAAGGTATCCATTTTTCTTCAGTCTTCCTGATTTGTGATAGGTAGGTTTATTGTGCCAATTTGGCCAACAGGAACATGTGGGATTAATCAGGTCTCAGTTTGATTGGAGGGCAGAGAGATAAATGTCTTGGCAAGCCCCACCCCTCTCTCTCTTGCTCTCTGGTGATGGAACAGTGTGGGCTGCTTTAGCTAGTTCTCTGCCTCAACTTGTGGACTATACTACCTGTGGGACAAGCCAACCCATGGACCATGTTGCTAGAACTTGAGGTTCCTTTGAGACCTCTTTGCCACACTGCTGGTATATACATCGCTTGAGCTTGAGGCTGGTGGATCCTGTCGTCTTGCACTGCTTGAGTTCAATATTCCATCGGGGCCTGCTTCGCTAAGCTCCTGAGCTTCTGAATGCTGGTGACCCGCCCTGTTGTTTGCTGCCTGTAGGCGGACCCTGCCTGCATTGCCCGAGGGAAGAGAAGCTGTCTGCTACTTTGACCTTGGACTGGGCAGCCCTCTTGAGTTGAAGGACTACCAGTATAAGAACTGTTCCACAGAAGCGAGTTGAACTGAGCCCTCTGTACTGCTGTGTGGACTATTAGCTGTTATATTTCTTCATGCTGTATACACCTATCCATGTATATGTATGTAGTTTGCTATGATTCACATAAATAAATGCCTTTGCCTAGCAAAGAAAATACAGGTAAACATCTTTTGGGTATTTTCTGCTTTCAACCAAGATTCATCTGACATCACCAATGATATTCCATAGTCTAAATCCTCTTCTGAATCCAGCTTGAATTTCTGGCAGTTCTCTGTCAATGTAGTGCTGTAACCATTTAATTATCTTCAGCAAAATTTTATTTGCATTTGATATTAATGATAATGTTCAATAATTTCTATCTTCTGTTGGTTCACCTTTCTTTATAACGGGCAAAAATATGGATTCTTTTCAGTCAAATGGTCAGGTAACTTGTCTTCCAACTATCTCTTTAAACTAATGAGCAGCTCCATAATTATAGTAGTTTCTCAAAACTTCTAAATTGGTATTCCTAAATCCCTGGAATTTTTGTTTTTCTATAATGCCTTCAGTGCAGATTCAATTACTTCCTTTAGAACCATCAGTTCTAGATCACATGAAACCTCCTGAAATGGTTAAAAATCCACCAATTCTTTTTGATTCACTGATTCTATGTATTCCTCCGATCTTCTTTTGGGTTTTGATGCTTCTTCTATGTTTGTCCAAAGAATCCTTCAGTATTACAATTCAAGCCTTGAATTTTTCTCCAATTCTCCTGGTTTGCGAAATAGTGAGTATACAATTCCTGTTTAGTATTCATCATGTTCCTTATACAGTCACTCATTAGCTCTCAAAGAAATATACTTTAAAATCAAAACATAATTCAGAGGAAAGCTGCTTTCCTTGTTTAAGTAAAAATTCTTTAAAGTCTTACATGGGAATTGAGTGAATTAAGAAGGAACATAATGGAAACTAACAATTTCATAGAAAGGGAAATATTTCTATTCTTTATATCCCTATTAATACTATCAAATTATTCCTTTTTAAAAGGAAAATCTAATAATTTATAATACATTCTTAAAACCCTGCAGTCTAAGGTTACTTCTTTATACTCACCTGCCACTTTGTTGATTCCAACTCATAGCAACTTTATTCTCACTCACTGTCACTGCATGGATGCTAACTCATTGTGACCCTACTGGACAGAGCAGAACTACCCCTGTGAGTTTCTGAGACTGCAATTCTTTACAGCAATAGAAAGCCCCACTTTTCTCCCATGGAGCAGCTGTTGATTTTGAACTGCTGATCTTGCAGTTAGTAGCCTAACGCATAACCAATAGGTCAGAAAAAAATTGTTCCGCAGAATTTCTTAAACTCTAAATAGCTATAAAGGCAGTTTTCCCCATGAAGCAGTTGTTGGATCTCAACCACAAGCTTTCTAGTTTAAAAAACCCAATGATTAACACACTGTGCCACCAAGACTCCTACTAACTCATAAAATACATAAAATATATACGTAAAGTTTTCCTTCTGAACAAAAGTTATATTTTGTTTTAAAACAGTTTTATTGGCCCATAATTCACATATCATAAATTCAATAGTTCAATCACATCAAGAATAGTTGTAGTCATCACAATCAATTTTAGAACATTTTCTTTCTTATTGAACAAAAGCTATATTTGAGTGGAAATCTTTTTCAAATGAGACAAGACTTGGTTAAGAAAACATTCTAACTAGTTTAATTTTTCTTTATTTATCTTAAGTCACTGTAGTGAATTCCAGCTATTCCCTTTGGTAAGACTGTGATGTTAAGAAATTAAAATTTATGTTAAGACACCCCTAGACTGCTGTAGAGATCTTGTCTGTTCTTTAATCATTCTTAGTTTTTATTTATCCATCCTAACTTTTAACTCACTCTTTCCTACTTGCTTTGTAAACCTCTGTTGTTCTCGAGCTTTCATCCTCCTGTTTCTGTTTATCGTCTTCTAATATGTTCCCGTTCCCCCAATGAGTTTCACTGACGTCATTTGACATTACCTTTAGGATAGTAAGCTATTTTTTAATCAATGTGTCCAGACTTAAATTCCTACAAGTAATTAAACTATTCACATCTATAGACTACTGTTCCCATTATACCCCAAAGAACTCCCCCTCTCCTTTTTTTCATTCAATTTCCTATTTACACAGAAATTGGTTATTAGGTTATTTATGCTATCACTAACATTTATCAGCTAGATAACCACAAACAAAATTGCAACCTCTAAAATTCACTGAGCATATATGTAAAATGGGATTATGTCAACATCTATAGAAGGGGAGCCCTGGGTTAGATTACCAGGGTTAATAAACATTGGCTCTAATACATACTATACATGAGCTTATAATGGGAAAACTACTACCACTTTTTTAAAAGGTTTATTGTGATGGTTAAATGCATATAATGCACTTTTGCACTCACAGAACCTTGCACAAGGCAAGTACTCAGTAAATGTTAGTCATAATTAACAATTTAATAGATTCCTATTGAAGCTAAAAACAGACTAGAACATGTAAAAGTCACTGTGCATCTCAATTGTTTATTCATTTACTAACTTGACAGTTATTTTTAGACATCGTAACCTTTGAGATTTTTCAGCAATTCTTCACTGCTAAAAGGTAGTTTAATCTTCATTGAAAATCTAAGTACCTACTCTACTAACCTTATAATCGATGATACATTCATTTATACTGAATTTCAAAGCTCATGGTTATGAAATAATATAATCTGTTTTCATAGTAATATTGTATACCCTTCTGTCATCATGTTCATTTCCATAAAATTAGAATATAGACATATCTACTTCCTTACTGTTGTGGGGAACCAACTGTGCTCACAGATTTTAATGTCTCATAGTATAATAAGTAATACCTCTTATTATTATTCTGAAGACAAGTTACAAATAATCTTCCTCAAATACTCTAAAAACATGCCTTTACTAAAGTACATCATAAAGATAATTTATACCTCCTTATACATTTTTGTCCACCAGAAAGGAAAGCTAATTTCTCCTATTGATCTTGTACAAGTCATAGCCAGTTTATTGGCAGCCTATAAGAACTCCAGCTTACCTTTTACCGCTCCAGAATTCTGGAGAAACAGACCAAGCTGTTGATGAGTACAATAATTCAACACAAAGATGCAGAGCTCTTTCTCCCCTCCAAACGATCATTTTCCACACAGACTTACCTTGCCGCTAATGATTTCTTCCACTCGCTCCTGGGGTGTTTGTCCAGCTTTGTGCCTCACAAGAACATACACTGAATTCACCTTAGGACAAGACCTCAACAACTTCTCCAAAAGCACCTTTCCTAGGAAGCCAGTGGCCCCAGTGAGGAGGACATTTTTGCCCTCATAGTATTCGGGTATTGAAGCCATTCTGATCCTAAGAAAAGCAAGACAACAAAGAGGCATTAGTTCCAAGATTTGTGTTCATTCTTAATTACTAAATGTCTCTTGGAAAGCTAAGTATCTTAAAGGACAGGCAAAAATTAAAGATGAACAAGAATGCTAACCTCTGGTTCGCTGGAGAAAAGCAGAAAGAATAAGGAACTGCAACAGTAACTTCTAATCCTGTGCTTTCCCCCGGATCACTTCTGACAAGTCACTCAATTTCTCTGGACTGAGTTTCTTTCCTTTAGTTTATACTAAACGGGCTCTAAAAATCCCTTCCAGCAAGAAGAGTCCAACTTTTCATTTAAACCCCAGTTAAACTCTAAATGGGACTGGGTAATGTTTCTCTGCCTCTAAAGGGATTTACAACATTGAATAGAGGTCAGCAGCAAGAGTAAGACTCAATTGCCTGCTTGTATAACCTGGCCAGGTATCATATTCACCTAGCATCACCCGATGGAACAAGAAGAGGTAACACCAAGTCCTTCTTCCAACATGTCTGTTAATGACAATATATCCAAAGGGTGCTTAAATCTCCCTTTTAAAAAGGCTTATCAAAAAAATGTATGAACTGACCTAACTTCTTTACTCCGATACCACTGAAACAACAGAAAAGATCCGGTAAAACAATGAAATAACAAAAGGACCATGAAGAATGAAAAATAACATGCAGAAGATTCATGCTATGCACTACATCACAACAGTGTTCTGTATTGCTTAGAAACACACACATATGATAAAGAGTAAAATGCAACCAGAGAAGAGGAGGAGCTTCACTGTATCCATATGTTTCACTTAAGCTAGGGAGTAAATACACGCACTTTGTGTCCTAATTTGTCATAGCTTCAAAAAGAAAAAAATCAGCAGAAGGGAACAGGGCACTAGAACTGAATATGATTATACAACTCACTTTAAAGGCAATTTAATTATGGAGGGTGGGGGAGAAGAAAGACCGTGTTTGAAAATTGACTGTGTAAAGATTGTACAATGATTCTTGATAAGACTGAACAATTGAATTGTATGATATATGGATTATATCATACAATATGTTAGCCTAAGATTGCTCTAAACATGCACAAATTCAGGGAGACAAAGAAAAACAAAAGGAACCACACCCTCTTTGCAGGACAAATATATTACAATCTGCTTCCATAAAGATTTACAAGTCTTGGAAACTCCATGTGGCAGTTCTACACTGTTCTACAGAGTCCCTATGAGTCAGTCAGAATCAACTGGCAGCACTGGATTCATCAGTTGCTTTTCTTTAATAACAACAACAACAACAACAACAACAAATATTCAGAATATGTAAAAAAAAATCAGTAAACGGACAGACAAGTTAATAGAAAAATAAGCAAAGATTCAACAGACATATTACAAAGGAGGGTATCCAAATGGTCAATAAGCATGAAAATAAAATGGGCAATAAGATGAAAATCACAATGTTCAATGCCACTATATCAATTTCCCACTCCAGCGTAGCTACAATAAAAGCAAACAAACAATAAACAATAGTGGTAAGGATACCCAGCCACTGGGATGCTCATTGACTGCTGGAGGAGTACAGACTGGTGTCACACTTATGAAAAGTACAGCAGTAGCAGTGGGTGCCATCGAATCAGTTCTAACTCACAGGGATTCACGCAAAAGGGCTTCAAATAGTCCCTGGAAAAATCCCATGATCTTTTAACTCAACTTTCCCACAAATGTTCCGATACCCCCTGGTCCAACAGAACAAAGCACTGCCTGGCCCTTGCCATCCTCACCAGCTTTGTTCGGTTGAGTCCATTGTGGTATCCGCTGTGTCAGTTCATCTCGTTGAGAATTTCTCTTTTTCCATACCCATCTCCTCCTGTACTAAGCATGACGTTTACCTAAGATGACTTGCCATCTTCCCCTCTAAGATATATTCTGGCTGTACTCCTAAAACACATGTGTTCATTCTTCTGTCAAATCCTAGTCTATTTAACATTCTTTGCCAATACCATAATTAAAATGCATCAATATGAATTATGCATTCCTTATTTAGATTTCATGTGCACATGAGGTGACTGAAAATACCCTGGCTTGGATCAGGAACACCTTAGTTTTCAAGTGGCAGCTTTCAAGAGGACTTTTGCAGTATGTCATGGATTCCCTGAATCCACAGACACTGATTGTGAATTCGAGTAAAATGAAATCTGTGACAACTCCAATCAAAATTCCCTCTGTTTATCACGATGTTGTGTATTGCTCCAAAAGAATCAGTTAAGAGTCCATAATGAGGACTTTTATTTTCTTACATGTGGTGGTATAATCCATACTGAAGGTTGTAGTCTTTGATCTCATCAATAGGTATTTCAAGTCCTCTTCACTTTCAGCAAGCAAGGTTGTATCATCTGCATATCACAGATTGTTACTTAGCCTGCCACCAACACTGATGACCCTCTTTCCCCCTGTATATTCCAGCTTCTCAGAATATTAGCTCAGCATACAAATTGAGTAAATACGGTGAAAGGAAATTCTGACACCTCTGCTTGTCTTAAACAGTGCAGTATTTATTCTCTCTGTTTTGTTCACTAACTGCTTCTTGGTCTAAGTATAGTGCCACATGAGCATAACTGAGTCTTCTGGAACTACCATTTCTTATATTATTACCTACTGTTTGTTATGATACACATAATTAAATGCCCTTCATAGCAAACAAAAAACAGATAAACATGCTTTTGGTATTCTCTGCTTTCAGCCAAGCACCATTTTTTAAAAATCATTTTATTGGGAGCTCATACAACTCTTATCACAATCCATACATACATCCATTGTCTCAAGCACATTTGCTTCCATCATCGTTTTCAAAGCATTTTCTTTCTACTTGAGCCCTTGGTTTCAGCTCATTTCCCACTCCCTCTCCTTCCCTCATGAACCCTTGATAATTTATAAATTATTATTTTTTCATGTCTTGCACTACTGTCCGATGTTTCCCATTACCCCCTCGTCTGTTGTTCACCCCCCACCCCCCGGGAGTGGGTTATAGGTAGGTCATTGTGATTGGTTCTCCCTTTCTTCCCCCACCTTCCCTTTACCCTCCTGGTATGGCTACTCTCAATATTGGTCTCGAGGAGTTTATCTGTCCTACATTCCCTGTGTGTTCAGCTCTTATCTGTACTCATGTACATGGCTCTGGTCTAGCCAGATGTGTAAGGTAGAATCAGGGTCATGATATTAAGAACCAGTGGACAGCTGTTTGTTTCAGTCAAGTACCATTTGCTACCAATAAATGGTTTCATACCAATAGTTCCATATCCTACTCTGATTTCAGCTTGAATTTCTAGCCCTTCCTTGTGGATGTACAGCTGCAACTATTCTATTGAGTCAAACTCCTTTGAAACAGGCCCAAGCATGGCATAAAAATCCTGCAAGAATTAACAGCCTGAAGGCTCCTTAGAAACAAAGATAGTGAAGTCTTCGTCTCAGGTACTTAGGACATGTTATCAGGAAGGTTCAATCCCTGCAGAAAGACATCATCATGTTTGGTCAAGGAGAGGGTCATTGGAAAATGGAAGATCTTAGTGAGATGGATGAACACATTGGCTGCAATAACAGGCTCAAGTACAGGAAAGCTTACAAAGATGACACAGGATAAGGCAGTGTTTCATTCTGCTGTACACGAGACTGTTATGAGTGAGAACCAACATCACTAGTGCACGTCTAGTAAGGGTGACTCATTAACTTTTAGAAACTTAGCTCAAATAAATGATTACAGGCAAGAGCCACCTTTTCTCATTTTCAACTTCTAAAAACATATTTAAGTAGACAATGCAAGTGAGCGATTCCAATAACTAGAAAGACACAAAATTCTAGCATTAAAAAAGGACAGTTTTTAGATACAGGAGTTTTCATATAAAGGAGTTCCTTTGTATTAGAACTAAAAAAAATTAAAACTTTTAAAATAATTTAAGCAGCTTATTGCAGACACTTGCTTAGCATAAAAATAGATGTGAACTGTGTATGAGAAGTAAGAATTGGGGAGAACGGAATGAATGATAATTCCATGGGCCAAGTACCAATATTATTTCAAATGCTTTCAGATGCAATTTCCCACAAGTTGCCTTAATAATTTTTCTGCTCAATGTCACTAAGCCCAAGTATGTGGGAGAGCTAAGTTTGAACCCATATTCTCAACCAAATTCCACATTTATAAAGGGCACAAAATGTTTCAACTTGTCCATCAATGTGATAAAGGCCATCAACTCAGATACAAGTACACAGCACTTAAAGAGAAGTTCAGAGAAAGTTAAGGGGTTCCAGCAGATGATTAGAAAGGTCCTCTTTTCCAGTTCTAAAGGTCAATGATTCCATATAGGAAAAAAAACCAAAAAACCCAGCTTTTATTACAAGGTCTTTTTGGCTTTGACTAATTGCATAAAAGGGCAAAATTCTGCTCCAGATAAATTGTTAATGTATGAAATATAGTGAATTCTAACTGAGGAATCCTTAAAATTCTCCGTTATTTTACAATGAAAGTTGCTGAGCCAAGACAGCAATCCAAACCAAACTTCAAGTCGATTCTGACTTATGGAGACCCTAAAGAGAAGGATAAAACTGCCCCTTAAGTTCCCGAGCCTATAACCTTTTATGGGAGTAGAAAGCTCAGCTTGCTGCCAAGAAACAGCTAGGGGTTTTAAAATATTGACTTTGTGAATCATAGCTCAATTCCTAGTCAACATGCCACCACGGCTCCTAAAGTAGCAACAGAACAGAAATTTGTTAACTTGTTGAGACAGTTAAAACTCGAAGGCAATGAATTAGACTTTATCCTATCCGGATTCCCCTGTAGGCTATTTCCTCAGGCACCAATAAAGGAACGAAGCCAAAAGACCTACTGTCAAACTTAAAACCTGACTCAGAAAACCATCCAGGTGGATTTAATAATTACTACTATCAAGTCAAGTGAAAACAACATCATTCTCAGATTAAGAAATAAGCAAATAGCAAAAGGTTCAGTGGTTTTAT